CTGGAACAAGAGTTTTATTTGCCTGACGTTTCGGATTCCGTCGGGAATCCTTTATCATAGGTGATGATAAAATAGTCATGGTCATGCGCAGATAGGTGAAAACATTACATTTATTGAAGTGTTGCAGGAGCGCTGCTTAATCGGATGCAGAACTAACCTATTTGGCGCCTCGATGACTGTGATGATAAGGACATTTGCAGTGACCAGCAAACCTTCGCAAATAGTGCCCATCAACAGAGTTAGTTTGACTGCGATTGTGTGTGATCTCTTTCCTTCTTCGGCCATCGCAAACAACAGAGTCCACTGTACAACAAGACGGCCAAAACTTGCGTGCTATTGGGTCTATATCAAAACAGGCATGTGGTATATTACCCCACTATTCCCCTTTATTCCTATATCAATCGTAATCCGCGTTATACGTGGACGCGTTTATAGCCCTTGTGTGCTTAACTTCACACTTACCGTCGGGTGATTCTCATCCGCCACTTTTTCCAACCAAACATTTTGGGCGCGTTGTGATATGTTTGAATGCATCAGATTTATTATGTTAAGAGAAGCGTTAATTCACTATTACGGTACCAGCCCCACCCTCCACCCCAAAAAAATTAATGTCCTGGCATGTCTGCCTATTAGTGTGAAGTGAATAAGGTGATGTCTACTATGTGTCCCATGTATCTACGCCAACAGTTTAGGGCTCTCTCACAGACTCTAAATGAACCGACAGACCTATACCATGAGCGCAATGGCTGTGCAAAGCCTTCTAGGGCAGAATTTTTGATAAAAACGCAGTGTTGATGTCCAAATCAGCGTTGAATTGGTCGTTGCGCTAGGTTAGGTAGGCCGCAAAACCTCTAGTCAGTGGAAGCCCCGGGCAGTTTTAGAGGACATGCCACTTAGATTTCTACCACGAACCCTCATAAAATCATCTACCTATGCTAGCCCATCCATCTCAGTCGGGTGGTTGAATTGATCTGGACCCTGCTTGGGATATTTCACCTGTTCATCTATTTGTTCCTCTGGTTCATCTTTTCCTCAAGCCGAAGTAAGAAAGTTAAGCCGCAACCTACGCATGCATACGTTCACCATGTTTTTTGCTTTCAGTTACTTCAACTTCTTGGAGAAGTCGGGTGCAAAGAAGGCAGAGGATAGCGATGCATCTGTTTCGGATGACGAGTTCGATTCCTACCTCGGTAAGTTTTTTCT